TGGATGAAAAGGAATGTAGTTTTAGAGATTATACTGTTACGCTGCTACTTCGTTGTACTCCTCCGGTCCGGTGCAATTGGCAATAATTCCTCCCGCATTTCAGTGCAATCCACTATCCACCCCTCTTCTCTTTGCCTGCAATCGCCGGTGCAGTCCCCGCCTCGCTCCCTCTGTGCTGGCGCGGCGCGGCGTGCCGGGTGCTGGTGATTGCACATGTGTCGCGTGCTGCGCAGCAGAAAGCACACGACCCCTCTGCTCTACAGTTGCCTTGGGAGGGGAGAAACGTCGTAGCCCCATGCCCTTATGCTCGCCCAGCGCTTCGACAAGAAAGTAAAAAAAAAAGGGGGGGGTAGAAACAAAATGTATCGTCAACGTTTGGAAGATAGTGATAACAAAAGTGTGCAACTGGGTATGCATATAATATACAGGTTGGTCCATCCATAGACGCCTTCCGACGGCTTCCTTTATTTTGCTTATATACTATGCAGGCGTGCGGTCTTGCCTACCGTGTCGCTGTCCACGGCGCCTTACTGCCCAGTGTGTCCCTGCCCTGCAACCCACCCGCATGTCTGCATGCGGTACACAATAAGAAAAACAAAGGAGGGACACACGTGTTCGACTTGAAGGCTGGAGGCCTCGAGGGTGGAGGCGGGCGATGGCGGGAGGAGGCGCCCGGCGGGCAGGCTGTGCGGCGTGCGGGCGAGCGCCGCGGGCCTGCCCACCCGCAAGGGGCCCGGGGAGGTCAGGGCGGGCAGAGCGGGCAGGGCGGGCAGGGCGGGCCCACCCGAAAGCCTAAGTTAATACAAAGGTGGATTGTGACTTATGGGTCGAGCTGCAGGCTAAAGCCTGGTCAATTGACCAACGCCCCCGGAAGGACAAGCAGGCCCAGCCCATCCCCAACTTTGTTTGGCGGAAGCGCGGGCCTTTTAGTTGAAATAAGATGAACTTCCACAAACTTCGACCAATTTTGGTAAACGTTTTATGAACTTTGGCCGACCTTCGATGAACTTCGCGAACTGCGACTTTGTGAATGAACAAACATTCTCTTTTTCGATTCCCGTTCTCCCTTAAAGAAGCGCCGGCCAGAGGAGAGAGCGCCCTGCAGCCCCGCGAGGCGCGGGCCGCGCCGGGGGAGACATTTGCGTGAGAAGCGGACATGTTGCACTGGCAGCTGCTCATCGGAAAACAGAGAAATAAAGCGGGTGAGGTCGCTGGCAGGGCCTCGGAGCCGGGCGGGCCGAGGGCCGGGCTCATTTCGATTGAACATTTGGTGTACTGCCAGCCGGGGATAGAGAGCGGCGTGGGGTGGCGGGCGCCTGGCGACAGGCGGGGGTGGGCGTCACGACACCTGCGCACGAGGCGAGGGTGCAACTCCCTCCCTCACTCGCTCATACTCATTCACTCACACATACTCACCCACTCAGTCACACTCACTCACTCATACTCACTCGCTCTCACTCACTCACTCTCACTCACTCACTCACTCACAACGCGGGGGAATTCCCTGCTGTCACTTCCGGCGCACAAGATCAATGATCTACAGCAAACACCCCGACAGCGCTGCATATCGCAGTGCGGCCCCATGACCGGATGCCAACGCCTCGCCAGCCAGGCCCAGCTACGCCACGCCACCTGCAGCGGTCCTGTTGGTTCTGATGGCTTCCATTTACTAATTGTGCGCCAATCAAAGGATCAAGTCGCCGCCGCCGCCTCGCGCCACGCCCCACGCGCCCCGGCTGCTGATAAGGCGCCCTGCCTCCCCACCAGCGCCGTCCCCTCGCCGTAAGTGATAAAACTGAGCGGAAAACTAAACTGAGCTCCTGTTTACCAGAAACCGTAACTGCCGGTGCACGTGTGCTGCCTGTGCATCTGGTTGTGCAGCTGCCTGTCTATCTTGTATGCAGCTTCCTCTGCACCTGGCTGTGCCTGTTCAGCTGGCTGTGTCCGCGGGGTGACTGGGTGGCTGGGGTGGGGTGGAGGGGGCGCGAATTAGGAG